ATCCTTCAAACCTCAGTTCAAATGTCACCACCTCAAAGAGGCCTTCCTAGATACCAATATTTGAAAGCATCCTATTTTGCTGTGCACTAATATACTGCTTGCTTCCCCCACTGGTGGGTAAGTCCCTGGAGAGCAGATGTATCTATTTTGTTCCACTGTATTTCCAATGCCTAGAACACTGCTTGGACACACTAGATGCTCAGTAAGTAAGTATCCATAGATCAAATGAAATTTCGTATCAGGCAGCGCCCCACCTCTGAGATACATGATTTCACTGTTCATCCCAAAAGGGGGAGGTGCTGACAGTGTTACCTGGAGACACAAATTAGATTCTGTATTAGTTTCCTATTATTGCTCTGATAAATTGCCACAAATTTAGTGGCTCGAAGAAGTACCAACTTTCTTACAGCTCTGAAGGCCAGAAATCAGAAGTCAATTTCACTGAGCTAAAGTCAAGGTGTCATCAGGGTTGGTCCCCTGTGGAAGAATCCCTTGACTTGCCTTTTCTAGCTTCTGGAGACTGCCTGCATTCCTTAGCTCACAGGCCTGCCCAGACAACCTTACATCACGATCCTGAACTTAAATCCTACTGCAAGGTCCCTTTTGTCATGTGAGGTACCATTCACAGCTGCTGGGGATTAGGACATAGATGTACTGGGAAGTCATCATTCAGCTGACCACAGATTTCATGCTGCTGATCTGTGATAATCATTTTGGCCAAGTGATAATAGGGCTCCTCTTGGGAAAAGAGGGGCCTATTATTTTACAGACCAAGGTCTCTACAAACCGTCTGGGCCTTTCTACTTTCCACCCGTCATGTAAGAGAAAGGCTGTTTGTACTCCTTCAGGCCTCCTGACCCAGCTCCTGGGCCTCCCTCTTCCCCCCCCCCAAACCCCCTGGCCTGTCCACATCCAGATAAAGCAGGGAACAGCCTGGGGCCCTGGAACTCACCTGAGCCAGACTGCCCCAACAGGGGCAGGTGTTAGTATTCAGGACATGGTGTGAGGCTCACCTGCCTCAGCCTTCAGGCTATGTGGCTGCTAGTCAAAGGAGGGGTTCATGGGGACTGTTAAGAATAAATCACGCGGAACAGAGTCCCTGACTGGCCACCAGCCAGAGAATGCATGTGCTACCTGCAGGTCCCCCATATGTATCTGGGGCCTCAGGAAGTGGGGGCTCAGGTTGGGATAAGCAGTTATAGGTAAGTAAGGCCAATGATGACCCTTCTGTTGGGAGAGTTGTCTCCCTTGGCTCATTTTTTACCAACCCCCCCACCCTGCCCCAACACACACTACTCTCACAAAAATCCTTTCTATTCTGTTGAGCAAATTTCTCCACACCTTAGCTTCACTCCCTCAAAAAAAGACCTGAAACCACTTATCCCTCATGGCTGAGCACGGAATGCTTTTTACCCCAAGGAGCGCAACGCATCATAGAAGTAAATCTGAATAAGGTAAGGGCTATAGTATGGATTTACCACGGGCTAGCTGGGTAATCTCATGGAAGCAACTCATTATTTCTGAACTACAATCTTCTTGGTAACATGTGTTGTGGCTCATTGTCTGAGACAATAAATGTAAAAGCATTCAACATAGTCTCTGACCCAAGAGAGGCACTCAGTAAGTGACAACTGTCAAGATTATTTTTTTTTAAGATTTTTATTTATTTATTCATGAGAGACAGAGAGAGAGAAAGAGGCAGAGGGAGAAGCAGGCTCCCAAGGAGCAGGGAGCCCGATGTGGGACTCGATCCCAGGACCCTGGGATCATGACCTGAGCCGAAGGCAGACGCTTAACCATCTGAGCCACCCAGGCGCCCAACTGTCAAGATTATTAAGATCAAGTTTCTTACCCATGTTTAAAAGTTAAGAGGGGAAGAGCATTCCAAGAAGATGGGAACTTTTGATAAACTGAGTAAGGTTTGTTCAGAAACAAATATTTTTTGGCTACTTTTCTGGAAGTAAGCTAAAGAAAAAAAAACAGCGATTGAATTTGGCAATGTGGATGTCTTTGGTGATCCTGATGAGCAAGGTCAACGGAGCTGGCAGTTCAGGAAGCTTACCAGAATGAATGTGAGTGGAAAGTGTGCAGATAAATCTTTTGTGAAGTTCGGCTATGAAAGGTTGGAAAACAGGATGGTGGCTGGAGGGAGTGTGGGGTCAAAGGAAGCTTTCTACAGAAGGGACTAGCAGAAAAAAATAATTAAAAAAGGAAAGGAAGGAAGGAAGGAAGGAAGGAAGGAAGGAAGGAAGGAAGGAAGGAAGGAAGGGAGGAAGAAAGGGACTAGCAGATGAGAATACTCCAAGTGCTTATGAGAAGAGGAAGTTACAGGAGGAAGGGGTAGGTGAAGGTGAGGAAAAAAGGTTATCAGCCCAGGAAGAAGGATGCTGCTTCCATCATGGGAGAGGAGAAGTGGTAGGTGAATCCAAGGCAGGAAGATGGAGAAGTTGAGGGAGGCAATGCTTAGTGACTCCAGTGAGAATGCCATGATGTCATTAAATGTGTGGGCTGGGCGACGGTAGGAATTTTGAAGAAAGAGTGGAAAAACAACAAACTAGAGGAACACCACAGGATGCTCCAGCTGTGTTGAGGGCAGGTGATGCTTACTGTTTTAAAATGTAAGTTTTGTTATTATTATATGACAAGGTTAACAGATGAGAAGATGAATGCCATTGAAAACATAGTTGATTAGATTCCCAGATCACAAGAGGAGGGGGCACACGAAGAAGTACCAGAGTCAGTCAGGAGGCCAAGGGATAGGGGAAACATGAGCAAGAGCCTTTCTTGTGGTTCCCATGGGAAGGAACAGGAGAGGCAGGGAAGCAGGCTGAGGACTGGATAGTTTGAATAATTTCAGCAGGTCTTGGGATGAGGGACCGGTCCCGGTTGTCTGGTGCCTGGCCCTGGGGTGATGAAGGCAGGGGAATAGTGGCCCTGAGTGTGAGAGCCCCCAGCAAAGGAGGGCTGATGGTGGGGGGGGGGGGCCCTCTGGGTGGTCAGTTTGCATATAGAAGGCAGATCTCTAGCCAGCTGTTGGCAATCTCTAGGAATTAGTTAGCCTGGGAGGGGCAATCCCTCCAGGGTCAGCAAAGCCCCAAGATGTACAAGCATCAAATACAGAAACTGGAAAAATGTGGTTATTAGACTTATGAGTAATCTATAACACAAATGCCCCATATTCCTGCCTATGGCCTTTGCCCAGACAACTCCAGGAGCCACCCGGAGCCTCCATTTTAATCCTTTAAGGACACCCGAACTCGGGTTTAGACAGGACCTCATATGCACCAACCAGAAATTATATTCACCATCCAAAAATGGAGAAAAAGAATATTAAGAACTTTTATTTTCTTCTTAAGCAGTAGGGGGAAAAAAAGAAAGAAAGACACAGCCAATTCAGAAAAGAAGAATAAGTAACACACATGAAAAGATAATGATTTCCCTTTTCACTGAAGAATTACAAAAGTAAGCAATGAGATTTCTCACTTCTTTTTTTGACAAAGATGAAGGAAAGTGTACAACGCTCAGGATTGGTACTATGGGATTGTAAACTAGTTTATTTTTTTTAAGATTTTATTTATTTATTTGAGAGAGAGAGAGAGAGCACGAGTGGGGGGAGGGGCATAAGGAGAGGGAGAAGCAGGCTCCCCGCTGAGCAGGGAGCCCAACACAGAGCTCCATCTCAGGACCCCAAGATCATGGCCTGAGCCGAAGTCAGATGCTTAATTGACTGAGACACCCAGGCGCCCCTAAACTAGTTTATTTAAAAAAAATCTCTCTCTGGGGGTGCTGTTTGGGAAGAGGTATCAAAATTCTTAAAACTGCACCACCTCTTTGACCCAGAAATTTCACTCCTACAAAATTATCCTGAGGAGATGATTGCATGGTGCTGATGGTTACCCTACCACTAAATGAGACAGGATAAGAAAGATCCTGAAAAAGTAAATGCAATGGGTCATTGTTCTATTTCCTGCTCAGCCCAAAAGTTTACACATATTCAATTTTTCTCTATGGGACTGACTCTTAGACTGGATTGCCATCTACATGGGACTGCGTCAGGAGCCATGGGGTTGAGCCCAGTCTCTGCCATTTCGACCCCTGTGACTGTACATCAGCAAAGCAGCACTGACAGTGACTTCCACGGGTAGAATTGTTACATCACCTCTGTTCTTGCATCTTCTCCTTTAACCACCATAACAACTCTAAGAGATGGGTGCTTTCCTTTCACAGACAACGAAAATGACCTCAGGAAGATTATTAAAGAAATGAGTCCTCTGGCACACAATAAATGGCTGATCAGGAGCCAGGCGGACGGACTCAAAAGTCAGTCTACTCAGTCACAAAGTTACCCACCTCCCAAGGGGGCCTATCCTCATGGGAACTCAGATTCTTTGTTTCGCAGAGTGGGTCTGGTCTGGTGATGTCTCAGTTATCTTCAGGCTTTGACTTTCAACCATTGTCACCTCCTCTCCTGCTCATGTCCGGACCACAGAGGAGCTTGCTGAGCCATGAGGATGGAGTGTACTTCAGCAGGGTGCCCTCCCCAGGGCAAGAAACCCAAATGGCCACAGGTGCATGTCCTAATGGGGGCAATAAAAACCCCCTTTTGCCCCAGCGCAGCCTGGCTTCAGATACAGGCCTCTGCCGGGCTCCTTAGGTCCACCTTGTCCTTCTCAATGACCAATAAAACGCCTAGTACCTTGGCACTGCTTTTCCGGTTAATTTCTAACTAAGGAATCTCTTTGTATCAAAAGGTGCAAAACAGAGGCCTTATATTTGCGGGCACAAGTTTGACCCCCAATGTCAGTCATTTGGGGCGTCCACATATTAGGAAAAAGAACAACAATCTGACAGCCTAGGAAAGGAAAACACTGTGCCCACAGGGGAAAATATCCTACCCTCAAGAATACAATCTCAAGAAACAGAACTAGAGAATAATTGGAGGAAAGACTGCCAGCCAGGGGCAGATGTATATATAGGAGGCACACACTTGGAAACAGACTAATTCTACCTCTCTGGCTTCAGGTAAGGCTATCTATGGCTCTCTCTTCTCCCCCACCTAGTTCTCTGCTAATTCCCATTCTGTTTGGGAGAGGGGGGAAGGAAATGAAGAGATTGGACACCTGGGTCAGACCTAGATTGGGTCATTCCTCTGCTGACTATTGGCTTATCTTCAGTTGGTCAATCTCCCTCCCTTCAAGGCTGCACTTTACTAATAACAATGACTACTATTTCTTCACTCATTCAACAAATATTAGCAAAGTGCCTACTATGTACTAGGCACTGGAGATATAGCAGTGAACAATAGCATTTGCTATGTGCCAGGCCCTGCTTTGCTTATATCATCTTAGTTAATCCCCATGACAATATGCAGTCAGTTATCATCTGCCACAGTGTTTTCACGACCCATTAGTAGATCATGAAATCGTTTGTGGGTTATACCCAAAATTTTCTTTTAATTAAATGTTAGAGACTATGTCAGCAAGCAAAGCATACAATATTAAGATTTTCATAAAACTTATTATTTTGTGTGTGTGTGTGTACCCATGCACATACACAAGCAACTACACCAGGTTATGGCAAAAAGTATTTTCCTTATAGCAGATCGTGATCATAAAGGCTTGGAAAACACAGCTCCAGAACACAAGTTCTCTGATCACAGGGACTTCAAACTGAGCCTGGCACATCATAGGCACTCAGTTTGTGAAAGCAATGATCCATATTTCATAGATGAGGAAACTAATTATTAGCAAGTTGAAATACCTTGCCCAGTGTTACAATGTCAGTGATTAATAAAACAGGGATTTGGATCCTGGTGGCAGGCTCCAGGTCCCACACATTTAACCACCACTTACTACCCTAGTTTGCTGCTGTAAAAATTGAGGCAATAGTAATACCCACCTAGGATTATTTCACCAATTGAGTGAAATAATAAGTGACTGCTCTGGAAACACCAAAATCCATTGTGAAGGTTAATCATCTCTGGAGTTGCTTATCTAAAGCAACTTCTTTACAATATGGGTTGCATGAAGTCAGGGATCTTGCCTGTCCTATTCATGGCCTTCCTCGGTGTGTAGCTCCCTGTTTGGCACATGGTAGCTACTCAGTAAATGTTTGTTGAATGGATAAATGGATCTGGGCAAGTTGAAAGTATCCCAGCAGGGGATCAGGAGTGGCTGTGAAAACCTAAAGCTGCCTCCGGTAAGATGAGGAGTCCAGAACACACTACCCCACCTTGCTGCTTCCTGTTCCAAATGAGACTCAGTTCTTCCAGATTCGCTGAGACTGGGGGAGCAGAGGCTAATATGGGGGTGGGAGGATGGGTGGGGTAACAGAAGGAAAAACAACAAAGCAAGGGCCACAACACTGTACACTTCCTGTAGTTCATATAAATGGCACCTTCTGGAGTTGTGCAGTGCAGGACCAAAGCACTCCTCCCAACTGTGGGAAAGTGAGTTAGATCATGCATCTATCCCATCCATCTCTGTTCCACAGGACTCCAGGCATCACAGACAGGGAGGAAATCCCAAGGGGTCAACCTGTCTTTGCCTTTGGGCAGGTTCTCCCCAGACCAGAAGAAGCTGTGAAGAGCAGAAAGAATGGGGCAGCTTTCCTCTCTGATCTCGGTGTGGATGGTAGTCATGGTAACCTCTTGGGTCATCACAGCTGCATCCACTGACACCCTGGAAGCAAGTAAGTGGGGGGAGGGGGGTGTTTGTGTGTGTGTGTGTGTGTGTGTGTGTGTGCAGGGAACAATGCTGCTGTTAACAGAGGAGGTCTGGCTTCCTCTCCTATCATGCTTAGAATTTATTTTTTTTTAAAGATTTTATTTATTTATTTGACAGAGAGAGAGACACAGCAAGAGAGGGAACACAAGCAGGGAGAGTGGGAGAGGGAGAAGCAGGCTTCCCACCGAATAGGGAGCCCGATGCGGGGTTCAATCCCAGGACCCTGGGATCACGACCTGAGCCGAAGGCAGACGCTTAACAACTGAGCCACCCAGGCGCTCCTCTAAATCCATTTCTTATACTTTAATGTATACAGGACTCACATGGGAGTTTTGCTAAAATGCAGATTCTGATTCAGCAGGCCCTGCATAGGGCCTGAAATTCTGCATTTCTGACAAACTCTCAGATAATACTGATGCTGTGGTCCTTGGATCACACATTGGAGGCAAGAGACTACCACTAGGTCCCCTGGCAATTTACTGGAAGGTCAAGATCTGAACACACCAAAGTGGCTCCCAAACACCTTCCCCTGCATTCTTTTTTTTTTTTTAATTTTTTTATTCTTATGTTAATCCCCATACATTACATCATTAGTTTTAGATGAAGTGTTCCATGATTCATTGTTTGTGCATAACACCCAGTGCTCCATGCAGAATGTGCCCTCCTCAATACCCACCACCAGGCTAACCCATCCTCCCACCCCCCTCCCCTCTAGAACCGTCAGTTTGTTTTTCAGAGTCCATCGTCTCTCATGGTTCGTCTACCCCTCCGATTTCCCCCGCTTCATTCTTCCCCTCCCGCTACCTTCTTCTTCTTCTTTTTTTCTTAACATATATTGCATTATTTGTTTCAGAGGTACAGATCTGAGATTCAACAGTCTTGCACAATTCACAGCGCTTACCAGAGCACATACCCTCCCCAGTGTCTATCACCCAGTCACCCCATCCCTCCCACCCCACCCCCCACTCCAGCAACCCTCAGTTTGTTTCCTGCAATTAAGAATTCCTCATATCAGTGAGGTCATATGATACATGTCTTTCTCTGTTTGACTTATTTCACTCAACATAATACCCTCCAGTTCCATCCACATCGTTGCAAATGGCAAGATCTCATTCCTTTGGATGGCTGCATAATATTCCATTGTATATATATACCACATCTTCTTTATCCATTCACCTGTCGATGGACATCTTGGCTCTTTCCACAGTTTGGCTATTGTGGACATTGCTGCTATAAACATCGGGGTGCACGTACCCCTTCGGATCCCTACTTTTGTATCTTTGTTCCCCTGCATTCTTAAGAGGTCATTCCATTGGGTCTTGCATTATCCTCATCTAGCTTTCAGCTTCTCCCTGGGGAAGGGAGCTGGGCGTCTCCCCTGAGCTGGAGTACTTTGGGGCACAGTAAATGCCATTTTAGTGTCATGGTAAAGAGGCTAAGAGCATATACTCTGTGGTCCTGCCACCTAGGTTTCTGTCCTGGCTCTGCTGCTTACCAACAGAGCAAGTGGCTTAAACCCTCTGAACCTCAGTTTGCTTATCTTTAAAATAAGGGTAAATACAAAAGCGATCCCACAGGGCCATTGGGGAGGATTCAACGAGATAATGAGTGAAAAGCATACATCCCAGTGTCTGGCATATTGTAAGTGCTTAATAAAGGACAGCTCGTTATCTTTACTGTGTTTATTGTCATGGAGGATGTCACACAAAGTGCGACTGTCAGGGAGAGTTGGGGAAGTCTTCAGAGGGGAGGCAGGGAAGATCTGAGCAAAAGGCATTAAATGTTCAAAGGTGGGGAAGGGGCGACAGGGTCACCTAAATCCTACCAAAGTGTCAAGAACTCTTTATTATTCCTCTGGATGTGGAAGCGTGGATATTTTAAAAGAAGACATACTTTGAAAGCAATGCTTAACAGAGAAGAATGCACAGTGGAAGCAACGGGGGAGTTTTGTTTAGTTGTTTTGGAGGGAGTCATCCAGGGACCAAGTCTTAAAAGAACATGATACCCTAATGGATGCAGGAGGACTCTCTGAGTGACCACTGGCCCAGCTGCCCCCATCTGAGGCCGGACTCTTCTGTCCACAGGAAACTGCTCTGAATGTCACAGCAATGCCACCTGCATGGAGGACGGGACTGTCACAACATGCTCCTGCCAGGTGGGTTTCACTGGTAACGGCCTTGTGTGCGTGGACCTGGATGAATGTGTCATCCCTGGGGCCCACAACTGCTCCGAGGACAGCAGCTGCGTGAACATGCCGGGCTCCTACTTGTGCACCTGCCCTGACGGCTTCCGACTGACGCCCGGGCTGGGCTGCACCGACGTGGATGAGTGCGCAGAGCCCGGGCTCAGCCACTGCCACGCCCTGGCCACCTGTGTCAATAGCAAGGGCAATTACTCGTGTGTCTGTCCTGAGGGCTATCTGGGGGACGGGAAACACTGCGAGTGCTCCCCGGGCTCCTGTGGGCCAGGACTGGACTGCGTGCCCGGGGGCGACGCGCTGGTATGCGCAGACCCATGCCAAGAGTACCGCATCCTAGATGAGTACTGGCGCAGTGCCGAGCACGGGGCGGGTTACACCTGCGACATGGGCCTAAGCGGCTGGTACCGCTTCGTGGGGTCGGGCGGTGTGCGCCTGGCGGAGACCTGCGTGCCGGTCCTGCACTGTAACACGGCCGCGCCCATGTGGCTCAACGGCACGCACCCGTCCAGTGACGAGGGCATAGTGAGCCGCACAGCCTGCGCGCACTGGAGTGGCCACTGCTGCCTGTGGGACGCGCCCGTCCAAGTGAAGGCCTGTGCTGGTGGCTACTATGTCTACAACCTGGGCGCGCCCACCGAGTGCTATCTGGCCTACTGCACAGGTGAGTGGGCGTCTCCCCCTACGCCCCACTCCAGACCTGGGTGGGCCCCACGGGAGACCGGGGAGCATCCCTGTTGACTGACAGTGTCTGTGATCCTGCAGACCCCAGCTCCGTGTTGGGGACATGTGAGGAGTGCAGTATAGACGAGGACTGCAAGTCGGATGATGGCACATGGAGCTGCCAGTGCAAACAGGATTTCAACATCACTGGTGAGACCAGTAGGAGGAGGGCAATGTGTTGAGAAATGTCAGCAAGTGGGGGAGGCACACATTCCTATGCGCGAGTTGGGGACATACGGGGATGATGCAGGGATGCATATCATCCCATCTGAGTGAAAAGTGGGTCCAGTAATATCTGTTAAAACCAGGAGAAGCTCTCTGGGCTCCTGGGATCCCTTTAGTGGACCCCAAAGCTCCCAGAGCTTGAGGAGCCTCCTTAGCCCCAGCCTTCTTCCTGAGGCTCCCACACCACAGTACAGGTGGCTGCCACTTGTTGGCCAAAGGCTGCCTAAGCCGGATTTCTGCAGCTCAAGAACACAGGACTGGTGGGGCACCTGGGTGGCTCAGATGGTTAAGCGTCTGCCTTCAGCTCAGGTCATGATCCCAGGCTCCTGGGATTGAGCCCCACATCGGGCTCCTGGCTCAGCGAGGAGCCTGCTTCTCCCTCTCCCTCTGCCTCTCTCCCCTGCTCATGCTTCCTCTCTCTCTCTCTGTACCTCTGTGTCCCAAATGAATAAATAAAATCTTTAAAAAAAAAAAAAAAGAAGAACAACACAGGACTGGTGACCAGCCTGCGGTTTCTAGGGCTGGGCCCTCCTCTGATCAGCAGAGGATCCCGAGCAGGGCTCTTTGGGTCTCCAAGCCTCAGTTTCCCCATATGTACAATGACTGAAGCAGGATAGTATTTCCCAAACTTCAGTCATGATTTTAGTACCAATTTTATAATTTCGTTTTATCCAAGTACTACCTAGACTGTGGTTTTTATTATTAACTTGTTCTTCTTTAAGTTGGTTGAATCCTTCTTCTTTTAAATAAACTTGGGACACTTATGGCCACTGCTGCATCTATCTGTGGCAAGTAACTCTTACTGTAGATAGAAGGTAACAGTAAAAATAAATACAATGAAAGAAAATTATTAAATTCCAGCAGCTGTGTAATACTTCAATTTAAAAAAGTTTAAAAAAAATCCACCTGGATGTCACTGTGTGCCCCAAACACTTAGCCTGATGTCTGCACTCTGTTGTTTTAAAAGGGAAATTAGCAAGTATATAGCATTAAAAACATTAGTAGCTAGTGTGGACTATCTCTTTGATATACAAAGGATGGAAAGATACTGCGATTAATGTGTTAGTGTGTTTGTTGTTTTCTTTTACTGAGATTCAGTGTATTTAATGCTGGCGGGGGGGCAGTGAATGACCTGAAAATAATATTGTTTTTTGCATACAATCCACACTTAGGGTAACATGGAGCTGATGGTTGGCCATTTGGATCCATCCAGTAATGCTGGGAATCCAGTCTTGCGTCTCCGTCCCTCTGAGAGAGGAGACCACAGCAAGATGAGACGGGGCTAAACTGAGCGCCCCCAGCTAGTGGCCAGCCTGACCAGCTGGGCCTAGGCCCTGGGGATGTGCTTGATGCTGAATTGTGGTCCCAGGTTTCCAATCCTGCCTTCCCTGCCCATTTCAGATCTCTCCCTCCTAGAGCGCAGACTGGAGTGTGGAGCCAATGACATCAAGGTGTCCCTGAGCAAGTGCCAGCTGAAAAGCCTGGGCTTTGAGAAGGTTTTCATGTACCTGCGTGACAGCCAGTGCTCAGGCTTCCGTGAGAGGGGAGACCGGGACTGGATATCTGTGGTGACCCCAGCCAGGGGTGGCCCCTGTGGGACAGTGATGATGGTATGTCCTGGCCAACATGGGACAGGGTTGGAGCACTGCCTGGTTCAAGCCCCAGCTTTACCACTTCCTAGTCATATGAGCCTGGCTGTGCCTCAGTTTCCTCAACTGTAAAATGGAATAATGATACTAGTACCTACTTCACAGGGTTGTTAAGAGGATTAAATGAGTTAATGTGTGTGAAGTGATTGAGACACCGGCAGGCACAGTGTAAGTGCTCAATAAATGTTAGCTTTAAATAAAGAGAATGATCCGTGGTGACAGTGCCCCATTTTACAGATGGGAACGGAAGGGCCCAGATAGGACAGTGATTCTTCTCAGCCAGGAGGTATCAGCACTGGGCTCAGAAGCAAGTCTGCCTGTCTTGGGTGGTCCTCAGAGGCAAGGTCTGCATCACCACTGTTCAGAGAACCAGGACCTCACCTCCAGAAACTTCCTCAAAAGGGACCCAGAGGTCAATATTTGAGTGGAATACTGCTTCTCCAACTCCCTCATCCCCCAGAAAGAAAAGGAAAGAAGACAAAAGAAAGGAAGAAAGAAATTGTTATTTGCTTAGCACAGTGTTTGAAATTCCAGCATTAATAATGAGTCTGGAGGTGGTTTTTAGTGTTTTTAGTGTTTGAGAGGAAGCGTGGCCTAATTTGGAGAGCTCAGGCTTATTAGATCCCACATACTGTGGGCAAGTTACTCAAGAGTTACTCAGCTTCTATGAACCCCCATCTCCTCATCATGAGGCAGGGAGATAGTAGCCCTGCCTCTTAGGGTCATTGAAGAGGCTAATACAGTCATGCAGGACCAGTGTTTAGCTCAGGGCCTAGTTCATAAATGGTTGCTGTCCTTGTAACTTTTGATTATGACAGCTCGGAGGGCAGCTCACAGGTGGCCATAGAAACCCCTTTGACTTTGAGTCCTACTCAGATTCTCATGCCCCTTTCTCCCGCTCCCATCCCCCAATACAGAGGAATGAAACCCATGCCACATATAGCAACACCCTCTACCTGGCAGATGAGATCATCATCCGTGACCGCAACATCAAAATCAACTTTGCGTGTTCCTACCCCCTGGACATGAAAGTCAGCTTGAAGACCTCCATGCAGCCAATGGTCAGGTGCGGCCAGAGAGGGTCCCCAGTGCCCCCAGCCATCTCTACCCCCACAACCTCTTAACCACCAGGCCCTCAGCTTCCCTGTTAACTGCCATCCATCTGTTGCTGGGTGGGGGAGCTGGGAGGCAGCATTTTCCAATGGGGGAGCCCAGTCTGGAAGGAAGGAGCCCAGATTCAAATCCAGGCTCTGTCACATACTAACAAGATGGCTCTGGAAATTGACAGCCCCACTCTGGGTGTCAGTCCTCTCATCTGTGAAATGGATTTAGCAGTACCCGTACTGCCTTTCTTAGAAGCACAACAGGGCTTGGCATGTGTGAATTAAATATTAGGGCCTCTGGCTTATCAGAGGGGCAGGGTGGTTGGACCAGATGGAAGGAGGGAGGGCTCTTGGTCCAGACCTGCTATTTATATGATATATAAATCATGCCATATTTGGACCTTAGTTTCCTTCCTTCTCTATAAATAGGAATTTGATTAAAAAAAAGGGGGGAGTTATAAATTATGCCTCTTAGAGTTTGAGGGTCTTTAAGGAAGTACGTCTGGGGATGCCTAAAGGGTGAACCAGAGACGTTCCACCCATATTGGGTGTCCCATGAGATTTTATTATTAAAAAAAGTAGTAAAAGGATCCTGTTGCTAAATAAAATTGGAAATCTCTGACTAGGACGAATCACAGGCCAATGATGCAAATGTGACGTTGGAAAAAATTACAGTTGTAACTATAACAAGCACTTATCAAGAGCTGACTGTATGTCAGGCATTGTGTTAACTGCTCTACAGGAAACCTCTCACTGAAATCTTAAGAGTACCTTAAGAGCTGTAAATATTACTATTATTAGTAGTGTTCCCATTATACAGATGTGGAAATTGAGGCTCAGAGAAGACTGAGTAGCCTGTCCAAAGTTAGAGTCTAGTAAGTGGCAGAGCTGGGATTCAAACCTAGGGCATTGTGCCCAGAGCCCCCACTCTACCATGACCTTCATTATGAAGCTCATCCACGGCTACATGTTCTTTGGGCCAACCAGACTCAGGGAAGGGCACGGCACTGATGAGGGTGCATGGCTGACCTGGGGGAAGAAGGTTGCTCATTGTCTGCCTTTGGCTGGAGAACCACCTGGCCAAGCAGTGCCCTGGAGCACTGTGGCCGTGTCTCAGGCCTGACAGACGTCAAGGAGCAACACATCTATATGGAGATGTCTCTCCAGTTTGAGCTGGAAATCTTGCCCTAGTCCAAATCTGAGTCCAAACCAATAACCCAGTTCTCACCTGCAAAATGGACTTCTACATTACTGAGTTTTTATCATGTGCCTTACTTCCTAGCGTTATCAGTCTTACAGGGTCCTTTATTGGCTCATTCTGTGAAGTCTCATCAGTGTAGCTATTTTCAATGTGGTGAAAAATAACCCATTTACAAAAAACCCCTATCTTCTGCTGTAGGTGGACCCAGAACTCTGACCTAGGCCTGTAGGACTCATAGCCATCCCTTTTAACTGCTCCAGGTTAAGACCAAAGAAGGAATGTAGGTGACTCCCTTGAGAATTTGTTTATTGGACTCCTTGAAGGCAAGAGTCCCCAAGTGAAGGGGATGGGCATGCTACAAAAAATGTGGTCTGTGGATCAGCAGCAGCAGCATCACATGGGAGCTTGTTAAAAATGCAGAACCTTGAGCCCCACCTGAACCTACCAAACCAGAACCTGCATTTCAACAAGATCCTGAGGTGACCCATGTCTGCTCATCACAGTTGGCAGCCATTGCAGTGGTTGGTGGGTTCCAGTCCTCCTGCTAAATAAACACGCAGAGAACTGCCAGGGATGGCCTGGGACTGCAGACCAGAAGGGGTGGCCCATCTGTTGCTGTTCTCAGCTCTGGTTTTCTCACCAGCTCCTCTCCCCCTGTAGCGTCCTAAACATCAGCGTGGGAGGGACAGGCATGTTCACCGTGCGGATGGCACTCTTCCAGAGCCCTGCCTACACACAGCCCTACGAAGGCTCCTCCGTGACCCTGGCCACAGAGGCCTTTCTCTATGTGGGCACCATGCTGGATGGGGGTGACCTGTCCCGGTTTGCACTGCTGATGACCAACTGCTACGCTACACCCAGCGGCAACGCCACAGATCCCCTGAAGTACTTCATCATCCAGAACAGGTAAGTTCCGTAGATGGAATTCTGGGGCAGGAGGGGGCAGCCTTTGGATTTGGATTTGGGGGCAAGTACATCTTTATATTCACAATGTCTAGCTGAAATTTAGCATCACCATCCATTATGAACATAGGCAACAAACCACAGTATTAGCAGGACACGTGAAAACATTTACACATGTCAGTACTTTTTAGTTACTAGAGTATTAGAGTTTCTACTAGAAATTATTATTTAATGTATTATCAAATATACATCCTTACAAATATGTGTTTATATATAATAGATATGTAAATATATAATGCATATATCAAATGCTCTAATATTTTAAGAACTATACTTCAGTTGAACTGGTTTCCTTTATAATCTTAGGTACTTTATGCACTTAAAACATTATTTTTGAAGAGGGAGGCATGGGCTTCACCAGAAGGTTGGAGGTGTCCAGGACTCAAGAAAAGGTTAAGAAACCTGATTGAAAGGTGCACTCACCCAGGGTAGGAAGCAAGATGGCACTTGGCTGGGAGGAGTGAGCTGGAGACACAGTTAACCAAGGACCAGTTGTAAAAGGGGGGACACAGGTGGCACTGGAGAACCGTGGACCACACTGTGAGGAAGTAATTCATGTCATTCAAATCAGAATAGATGTCTTTGGAAGCTTGCTGTGTGCCAGGCTCTGTGCATAGCACAGTGAATAGAAGGGACAAAACTCTCTGCCCTCATACAGCTGATATTCCAAGAGGGGGGACCAATAATTAAACAAGAGAAATCTGTAGCATGTCAGTGGTAAGGGGGCTATAGGAAAAACCCAAAGCAGGGAAAGGGGAGGCGCATATGCTATTTAATAGCATAGTCAGAAAAAGCATCCCCCAAAGGCACTGACCTATTCCTGTTTCCGTTCTTAGAACCTGCCTGGTTACATCAAGGGAAGAGTATCAGTTGGGTGCTCATCTGACACTTATACCTCTCTGTTATTGCTCATTCCCTTTGCAACAGAAAGAAGTCTTTTTAGGGCCTTCTGCTGTGATGGGAGCTAAGATTTAATAGCACTGTTTTACTTTGTATAAATAAGATTTAATAGCACTGTTTTACTTTGTATTTATCTGTAAATGGTCATGTTGTGCTTATGGCAAGTGATGCTGGTTTGTTATTTGTGGTCAGGACCTAAAGATTCTTCTAAAAAATAGATGTATTCCAATAAAAATATATGTATATTTAAAGCAAATAGCAAGTAAATTATAATAATACGGATGCTGGGAAACACAGGAAAACATACACGAAGGTGGTTTCTAGGTAAGGCCAAAAAAGCAAATTTGGAAAGGGGCATTGATGGAGATTGGAGCATCATGGAGATTTGGGTCCACATCTTGGCTTTGCTATTTCTTAGTCTGGAGACACAATTCATCTCATCTCTCCAAATATTCATGTTCTCATATGTGAAATGGGCATAAATAATACCTACTGTGCAGGGATTTGTAAACTTTTTTTTCCTGAGTAAAAACATTGAGCATGTATGTCATGGGACACTTGGAAAGTTTTGGAAAAGAAGCAGGAAGAAATGCTGAGTGTGCCTGTGTTCTTCTGTCTGGGCATGTGTGGGAGCTGGGTTGGGGAGCACCAGTCCAAGAGGGGTGGCGAACATCCCAGGATGTGTAAGGAAGAGCCGGCTGAGGAGACAGCAAGGGGCTGGAGGGGACACTTGGATGCCCTGCTCAGGTTGCGTGCATGGGGCTTTCAGGGGGTGGGTCCCCTGAGCCTCAGAGCTTTTATTGTGCCAGGTGGAGTCTGCACTTTTACAAGCCGATCTGAATTGTTTGCACAAAGCAGGGAGTTCCCTTCCCAGTTCTTCGTCTGTGCAGTCAGCATTCCGCCCCTCTCCTAAATCAATTTTGAGCAAATCTTATGTAAAATAGCGGAGAAAATGCCCAATTTGCCTGCCCTTGTACCCTGATCCAGCCCAGCACACACACGAGTCTCTTCATGTGCAATTTTGAGTTTCGGTACAATTGTGTATGTCTATAGATGGGCGCCGCGCACGCACGCACACGCACACACACACACACTCACTCACTCCCTTTTGGTCACGGCCCCTCAGGACTTAGAAGTGTCCACTGTTATCATCAGAACCGGGCACATAGGAGATAGCCAACAAATGGTAGCTAATGATCCTGAATGTCATTTCCTGGGAAATCAGAGGTGCTGACTTTATAGCATAGTTTCAACCCTGTGCTGATGACATTTTTATTTCAGCGTTATATATATGCATTAAGGTATGTAGCATCTACTATGTGTCATATACTGTAGTACGCTCTTGGAAAAGTTAACTCATTTAATCTTCCCAGCTATCTTATGATATGGGTTACAAATAGTATTTCCTGTATATAGATGGGGAAACTGGGGCACAGAGAGATTAAGTTGCTCAAGGACACATAGCTAATAGGTGGTGGAGTGAGATTTGAACCCAGGCAGTTTGGCTCCAGAGTAGCTGCTTAACCAACCATGTTATATGACTTAACCCTCCCAGATGTCCACGCACTAAGGACTCAACCATCCAGGTGGTGGAGAACGGGGAGTCCCCTCAGGGCCGATTTTCTGTTCAGATGTTCCGTTTTGCCGGGAACTACGACCTGGTCTACCTGCACTGTGAAGTGTATCTGTGTGACACCTTTACTGAAAAATGCAAACCTGTGAGTTGCCTCTCCTCCCTCAGGCTGCCTGCCATGATTTCCCCCTTGCCCGTCTCCCATAACCAGACATTTGGCCACAACATCTAAAAGAAAACAAACATTTCTGCTGTGTTTCTCTTTTAGTCCAGGAATAGAATGAGCAGTAAGATGGGGTGGGCAGAGCACGGGAGGAGACCTAAGCTGTTAGGAAATCAGGTGGAATCGGTGCAGTGTGACAGGCTGGTAAATGCTCTGGCTTATCTGCAGGCTTGTGTTCTGGTAATAGAAGCTGACATTTTAAAGCACCAGGTGCACCTTATCTGTGTTAACTTTTTAATTCTTTGCAGTAACTAAAGGGGAGGCATTTTTATTAGCTCCCTTTTCTATACGGGGAGAGCAGCTCAGAGAACTTAAGTGATTTTCCTAAAAGATCATAAACCTAACAGAAGGTAGAGGTGGGGCATGAGCCTAAGTATACAGATCTCCTGACAACTCCTGCCTCGACCATCCTCAAGCCCCAACCTGAGGCAGGAGGAGGCCCCTGTGAGGAGTGCAGCCCACTCCCCATGGCAGTCTCCCTCATGGAAGGCTTTCTTTGTTGCCCTCTTCCTGCAGACCTGCACCGGGACCAGATTCCGAGGTGGGGGCAGCATAGATCAAACCCATGTCCTGAACCTGGGTCCCATCACACGGAAAAGTAAGAGAGCCACTCCCTCCTCCATGTTTCTGGTAGGGAATATTCTCTGGAGATGATAAGGGATGACAGAACCTGGCACGTGGAACTTACTGGGTTCTGAAGAACCTGAACAAGTGGATTCTGTGGGGCAAGGTGGACTATAAGCTGCCTTCCAAAATTTTACCAGTTCCTAGTCATTCATTCATTCCATTGCGCAAATTTGTTTTTGTACCTCCTGTGTGCTAGGCCCTGTGCTAGTGTTTGGGGATCTTGTGGTGAGCAAAAGCAGAGACAGACCCGGTTCACATGTAGCTTATAGACCAGTGGAGCAGTCATTATTCAGACTGAGGAGAGATTAACCAAGAGGTGTCAGGGAAAGGGGGTGAGGGGAAGAGAATCCCAGGCAGAGGGTACAGCATGGGCAAAGGGCCTGTGGTGGTGGGGCTAAGGGGGTGGGTAGCCCAGCCTGCTAGAAGAACTGAGAAAAGGCCAGGCAGGCTGGAAAGGGGAGGAGATTGGTATGGGATGAGCTGATGCAGGTGGGCCCAGTCCATGTGGGGACATAGAGTTGTTGCTAAGGTTTGGGGTCTTTCTCCTGAAAGTAGCAGGGAACTCCTGAAGGGTCCAAAGCAGGGAAGTGACATGATCGGATCCGGGTTTCAAAAAGACCACTCTAGCTGCAAAGAGAAGAGCAAACTGAAGGGATATCTCTCAGGCTTCTTGCCATCTGCATGCCCTCTCCTTGCACTGATCCTTCTCTTTCCCTTTACAGGTGTCCAAGCAGTAGTCTCGAGGGCTGCTTCCAGCAGCCTGGGTAAGTTCAGGTCCTCTTTCCAGGGAGACCTCCACTAAAACCTTTCTCTGGGGCTTTTATATGTGGGCCCAGAATGTGCTGGAGTGCCTGGCCTGCTTGGCCTGAGCTCTGAAGAGGTGACTGCATCTGTAGAAACACCTGGTTCTGGGGCTGTCCATAGGCACATACACCTGTGCAGTCCCACAGTAGTGCATAATGTGCACACAGACACAGGCGTGCCCAGACGCAGAATGTATATCATCCAGACATGTTTGCACACATACACACACCAGGTCACATGCATATGCTCATATTTGCACACACAGATGCACAGATAGCTGGAGTTACATGCATGCATATTTGCAGGGACAGACATACACATACTCATACAAACTTATACCCAGTAGACATGCACACGCTAGGTCTGTACCTTGAGCACTTCCTGAAGCTTTGTGATTCATCTCTAACACCTTTTTTAGGATTCACTCAACAGGTGACAAATACATGTTGAGTGCTACTACATGCCAAGCACCAGGCTTAGTTCCGGGATGAACATCACAGACAAACAAGAAACCCTGTTTCTCTGCCTCTCTGACCACAAAGGCTAGGGACAGGTGGCATTTTATGGCCTTTGATTTTCACAGACACTGACTTGTCTGAAAATCTGGATGAAAAGTGAATTCATGTAACTGTTGCCCTTCTTGGCTCCTGGCATCTAGATCTGAAGGAGTTGTTATACCAACCTAGTGTTTTACCTGAGCTAGGCCAACTCTGTACCAACTCTGTAGTGAGCTTGGAGCTGAAGATTCAAGATGTTCCTAAGAGGCTTGTCCTCTGTGAATATCCCAAGGTCACCAAGGATGGTTGAGTAGGTTGGGCACTGTACATGAATGTCCTTTTGAGGGGCTACCAATCCTAGTGCCAGAAGAAAGGCTGTCTTCTTCAATCTGGTCCACCTAGGAGGGCACCTTTTTCCTATTTTTCCACCCCGAGTGGCACCTTGTTCTAATTGGTTTTCAGGGCAGATAAAGAGAAAGTTTCCCTTTTCTAACTGATCAGCCCAGATGGGGTGTCCTTTCCTAATTGGTCAGTCTAAAGGTGGCATCTTATGTTAGTTTTGCACACAGGCACATCAGTGCTAGCAGCAGCCCTATAATTGCTTTCTTTGCAGGGTTCCTGAAGGTCTGGCTGCCTCTGCTTCTGTGGGCCACATTGACCCTGATGTCTCAGTGACTGGCAGCTGGAAACCCTGTGCTCTGTGGCTTCATTCCCTGCTGGCTGGGAATGATGCAGCTTAGTGCTCCAGCCACAGAAAAGGGAGCTCATACTTCAGTCAACCTGCTCCTCTTTCCCCCGCTTTAATCCTCACTGTCGCAAAATATCCTGTATCTTTAAATTCTGCCTTCTCTCAAAACGGGACTTGTGACGTGTCTGCACATAAGGTCCCATGTCTCCTTAAAGAATGTGGCAAAATAATAATAATTTTAAAAGCTCAGTCTTTGAAGTCATTCATTCATTCAGCAAGTATTTATCGAGCACCTACTATATACAGGAACTGGTCAGAGTGCTGAGGATCCTGTGGTGAGAAAAAGCAGACTGCATCCCTGCACTCATGGAGTTCACACCCTGGTTGGAGAAACTGGCTTCAACTGGTTCTGCTGTGTAGTCAGATAAAATACATGATGTCTCTGAGCGTCATCCATCCAAGTCTTTCATTCATCCATCCATCCATCCATTTATTCAAGAAATATTTGCCGAGCATCCTATGCGCCAGCCCTGTGCTAGCTGCTGGGGATATAGCAAGGGATGAGCCCCACACAGCCCCTCCCCTCCTGGAGCTTACAGTCTGGCAGGAAAGGGAGAACTTGAGTGGTGATTACAATGTGGCAGGCGTGGGGGAAATGGCAGACGTGGAAGGTGTAACTGGGGGCTGCTGCTGTTGTATAATGGGGATAATAATGATGCTTTCACAGGGTCCATTCAGCTTTGCAGAGACATTTATGTGAGCACCCAGTATGTGCCAGGTACCGTGACAGGTGCTGGGGAGACACTAGTGAATAAGACAGACACAGTCCCTGTCTTCAGAAGTCTCACAGTCTTTAGAGGTGATGTACTGACCCGTCCTAGGGACCTCCTCCCTCCACTGCACTTGTCCTTCTCCATCCAGAAGATGGAGGCCTGTGTATAGAGCCACAGCAGCAGTGGAGAGCAGACCCACTACCCACATTGGGCAGGGCCGCTTCATGAGGGGGCCTCCAGGAGGCTCACTGAAGGCACAGTCAGAAACCAAGAGGCTGCTGGGCCCAAGAGCCCCAGATATTCCAAGGGACTTCTTTGTCAAGGCCAGCGGAAGCCGATGCTGATGGGAAATGTCTGCCCTGACACCAGCTGCTTCCCAGGACTCCAGCTGCGGCTTTCCAGGACAGACCAAGGCCCTATTGCGTTAGTAGAGTCTTCTGACCTCAGGGAAAACCACACGTGTGTATCAGCAAACAGGGGCTATGGGGACGTGTATCTGGAGTTAAAGGACCTCACAGGCGGACACGCAGACATGCACCGAATCCCCATACCTGCTGCCTTTACAGAAGAGCTTTATGTAGGAGGACTTTGGTGCTGAGCCCCGCCCTGTCTATGGTCAATCCGTGGTCAGTGGAGCCTGGCTGGATTGTGTGCAGATTCACTTTGACCCAGGTACAATAGAACATGAAGAAAAATAAAAACAAGGGCCAAAGGCAAGAGCCAGGGAAAAGAAAACATCAGAATTAATCCCTTTGTCCGTCTGTTACTTTTCTTTTCTTTTCCTTTCTTTCCTTTTTCTTTACTTTCTTGTTTTTTTTATCCTTTAGGTATTCAGCTCAATATTCAAGAGATATTTTAAACATAAATTCAATGCCAGGCACTTTTATAGGCACTACGGAAAAAGCAAGTAATCAAAACAGAGACCTTGATGGTAAAGAGCTCAGGTTTAAAAGGGGGGAATACATTTAAACAATATGTGAAATGTCAGGTGGGGACAAGCACTTTGGGGAAAAAAAACAAGGAAGAGAATAGAGCTATGGGGTGTTATTTTATATAGGATGGTCAGGGAAAGTCTCTCTGATAAGCAGAAGCTGAGAGAAGTAAGAGAACGAACCAGGGGGTTATCTGAGGAAGAACATTACAGGCAAGTGCAAAGGCCCTAAGGCAGGATCTTGTGTCTTCCCAGCAAGGTTTCACTAAGACTTGGACAACCATAAATTTTGAGGCATTACTCACAGGAGAGGCTCTGATGCATGTATGTTATTTTTTTTTCCATTTGTTTACTCAACAAGTACTTACTAGGTGTTGGTTAGAACTGCAGACAAGATCCCTGTCCACAAAGAACTTACAGCCTTCAGAGGGAGACAGATAAATTAGTAGGTAATTGAGTGGGATTGGAATCAGCCCAGAGAGGCACAGGAGCAGAGAAAAGATGCACCAGCAAGCCTGTGGTGTTCAGGAAAGTCTTCCTGGGAGAGGTGGACCTAAATATGTGGTAGGAGGCTGGGCATAGTATGATCTAGGCAGAGAGAATAGCACATGCAAAGGTTGGGAGGTGGGGAAGAGTTCAGAGAGCCACAGATTGGCTGGAGCATAGAATGTGTGGGGGATAAGCTGTAGGTGAGGTAGGAGCTGTGGCCAGGGGTCAGATCCCAGGAAGCATGAAGTGGCGGGAGTGGGGGATAATGCTGAGAGGTGATGTTATGGCATCTGGCTGCAGGAGAGGTAACAGAATCAAAGGGGGACAAAGAATGAAAGCAAGGAGACCCACTAGGCACCTGTTAAAAATCACCCTCATAAGATGACGGTAGCCTGAATTAGGGTTGGTGAAATGGGGCTAAAGAAGGAAAGACAGATTCAAGAAATACTTGAAAACTGAGTGACAAGTTGTGGTAATTACTGGAAATGTGAGACTGAGGGAGAAAGGAAGGAACCAGGTTTCCAGCTTGGGTGACCAGGTGCATAGCGGTGCCATGGATTAAGACAGACGATGTAATGAAAAGGGAGAGATTTGGAGAATGGATGAGTTCAGATTTGAACCTGCTGAGTTAAAAGTGCCTCAAGCATCTCAGCCCAAGGAGAAAAGTCCAGCAGGCAGCTGGGTGGATGGATCCGATGTTCAAGGGAGTGGTCCAGGATGGACATACAGATCTGAAACTCACCAGCCTGTAAAGGTACTAGAAACCAGGAGATAACTTGACACCTTCCAGTGAGAGTTTATGGAGTGATGAGAATAATGGGATCTATTGAGGACATCTGAAGGAAGAGGATAATGACAGAGCAAGAATATCCAAATCAAGAAAACAATAGCACAGGGGAGTCAGGGAGATGCAGAGTATCTGGAGGAAGTAGCAAAAAAATGTACTGACAAGGGGCCAGAAAAAAATGCCTTAAGACATGGCCTTAGCAAGACAGCTCTAACCACATGGTTCAGACTGGAATGGAGGAGTTGGAAGAGGGAAGGAGGAATTGATTGTTTTGTGGGCCCAGATGAATTTTGGAATCCTGCATTTGTGGTGGTTATAAGTTCCACATTTAGGGGATTTGTCTCCAAATGCACTAGGAGTAGAGAAGGTGGCTTGTAGCACCTTTTCTTTGCCCAGGTTGGGGTTTTGCTTGAAAGTGTTACCAATGCCAGGACCCCTGTGCTCCCTGCCTTCAGTAGCCTTGGCTCCTTAAGGAGTCCCAGAGAAACAAGAACAGGCAATGACCACTTGTTCTGCAAAAGCTTCGACTCCCTTATTAATGCCACAATACCATGCCATGGAAGCCAGGTCCAAGCCTGACATTTCCAAGTCCAAGATCTACGGCTTCCTCTCTGTTCCATACCTTCCAATCTCTAGGGTAGCCCACTATTTTAGGAGGGATTGGAGGAGAGGTGATTCTGACACTTATTTGGTCTGTCCTTTGGTATTATTCCATGATTCAGCATCACCAAACTGGCCCTTCCCATACTCCTCAACACTGAGTATCTGAAGGTGGGTAGAGTCTACAGGCCAAAAATAGGAAAACACCCATCCCCCACTTCCTTATTTATTCCCTTGCTCTAACTAGCCCCAAGTGGAGTGGCATCTAGACAGAAGCAGAAGTGTTCTAAGGTGATTAGCTAAGAACACAAGGTACAATTGGAAATCTATTGTGCAAACAGTGCCTGTTTGATTTCTCTCACTTCCCTTTGGGTGTTAAGCTCCCTTTTGATTAGTGTTTGGTTTCTGGTAATAAATATGGCACCAGCTTCACTGGTTTATGGAGGGGGGCATTCTTCCACTCTTTTCTGTGGTAAATCACTTATCTTACCTACGCCCAACAAGACCAATGTATACCTGGGAGATTAACTCCAGTCCTATCTGGGCACCAATCATGGAGAGCCACGTGGGTTGGAAACTGCAATAAAAGTATGGTACACAGCAGGCTTTCCCACGCTGACCAGAGGAGAACAGCTCTGTGTTCTTATCCCAAGGTAAGTCCTATTGCAAGCCCCAGCAGGCTTTTCTTCCAATCTTGGGGGCTCCCCCACCTCCCTTGACCCACTGGATGTGCTAGGGTTGTTTGTTTCTGGAAACTTTCAGAACTTTCAGCCCAGTCAAGTGCTCCAGATGTCATTCTGTGTCCAGCTCAACCATAATTCCCACCACCTGCTGGCTACTCCAGGTCTAAAGATGCCCCCTCACCCTGTCCCTCCTCCAGGAACATAGGCACCTACTTGGGATCTCATCCCTAAGAATTACCAGCCCTGGGTGCTCTCTCCTAACATATTCATGGTATCCCCTCCAGAAACAGATGTCTAGCTTGAGTCTTCCAGAGGCTTTAAGAAGTCATCAAAGATTTGCCCGTTGGAGGGAAGTTTCCCAGAAGGGGGACTGTTAATAATTTGAGTGTTGGCAGGCTCTTCACAGCTCTTTGTTTCTGCCCTCCCCATCCCCATTTACTTATTAATTATTGCTCAGACCTTTATTGAGCACCCCCTGTGTGCCAGACACCATGCTAGGAACAAGCAATGGGGGCACAGTCTGACATGGTCCCACCCTCACAGGAAATCTGTATGCATCTAGGACACTTCAGGAGTCTCTTAGGACAGTGCCCAATACACCAGAACTAAGAAAGCAGCTGTTACTTTTGTCTGTAGATATTCATAGCACTGTAACTTTCCCTCTATCCAGTCTCCCAGAACCTATACCCCTACTTGAGTTGGAACCAACCTGAGGGATTCTAGGATGTCCTGCAGTGCCAGCCAGCTCTAAGCTTACCTTTGGTTTTCTTGCTGTCAATCTCATCCCCTTGGCAAGCCTCCTACCCTCATTACCCCACCTCCTCTCTGCAAGTCACGCCTGCTTTAAAACAATACAGCCCTTCACGAAAGAAGTCTTGGGTCCATTTCTGCAAACATGGGCCTGTGGCCTTAAGCAAGCTATTTAACTTCCAGCATAGTGCCTGCATGTAGAAGGAGCTCAGTCAATATTTCTGGGATT